ATAAGATTACCAAGACTATATTATTAGAGGACTTACTTGGGCCTGTAAAGTGGCCAACACTTTTATATTGTGAAATGAAAACATTCCTTGCACCCATTGTGTCTATCCACTGGTAGCAACATGATGAGGTTTCCATAGAAACAACATTCTGCTCATCTAACGGCCCACCTCTTGCAAAAACCAGTCAGTAAATTGTCAATAATATTCATTTTAACAGAGATTTTACCGGTAATAAAGAAGTTACAGCAGAAATATGTCCTCCATATAGTTTACTAGAGATGAGACAAATAGAAATGAAATAAAAAGATATATACTGTTTCTTCCTTTTTCAGAGACTGTTTAGCACTAAAACAAGCAGAACAAGGGAACAGAGTCATGCAAATCAACTGTTCCCAGAGGGAATTACTGTACACAGTAGAATCAAGTACTCCTAATCTTTGTGACTCTTCACCCACTAAAAATAAGTTATCCCCAAGGAAGACAGTAGGGATTGAATTACACATTTATATGGAAAACAGAATTTCCAGCTTTGGAAAGCCATATTTCAGTGCAAATTAATCTACAATATTCCCTATCCGCAATAATGCCTTTAGAGAAATGGTACTGGAGAGTGATTTTGCTGATTTTATAAATAATTTTCCCCAGTCATTTTGAAAAATAATTTTATTGAGTTATAATTTACATACTATACAGTTTACTCGCTTTGTGTACAATTCAATGATTTTCAGTATATTTACAGAGTTCCATAACTATCGCCACAGGTTTAGGGAATTTAAGTGTTTGGCAAATAACTGAAAAACTGGGTTGTGTGACTTCAACCCTTTTTTCTTCCTCAAGTAAATATTTCCAGGGTAAAATATAGTGCTGACACTAGTATATACTTACTAGATTAAATTGAAAGCATTTACAATTTTTTGAGGAAGTAACTTTTTATAAACAGCAACAATAGTGTTGAAAATAAGGCAACTTTTGAGGATTAAGCTAGTAAAATGTATACTTCATAAATTATCTGGCTGTGGGAAAAATCCCTAAAACTGCCAGTGAATGTGTAACTGAGGAGTTGACCGACACTCTGAACCCCTAATTAAGATGAGAATTAATCTCAGGAGGCAAACTGGAAGGGGCTGGAAATCAGTTAGCAGAAATCTAATCAATTGCCTAGTATGCTGTTTATGTGAAGATCAGCCTACAGAAAGAGAATTGCCAGGGCTCATTGGGTTGAGCGTCCGACTCTTGATCTCATCTCAGGTCTTGATCTCAGGGTCCTGAGTTCAAGCCCTGTGCTGGGCTCCTTGCTGGATGTTGAGCCTACTTAAAAAAAAAAAAAAAAAAAAGAATTGCCAATCTTTACCCAGTATTATTATCCAGGGAACAGACACACAAAATCCAGGGGGTTATGAATTTTCCTGTCTTCGAATAGGTATACTCTGAGGCAGGGTGGGGGTCATTTTTTCAGGTCTCACCACTGTCTGAATGAGATCTCTCAAAACAATTTGCCTCATTTTGCTTCGATTCCTCATTTACTAAGCAACTGCCTGATTTGTTTTCCAGACCTGCTAAAACAGTTATTTTGGCATGCACAATCTGAGCATCCTCGTTACCAAAAATGAATCTGATCCCCCCCACTCCCCACCACCCAATAAATGAACAAATGGTTTGGTTTACTTGCTTTCTTGTTTTTTTACTCTTGTGACTAGAATCTGTTAATGGACTCTAGGATAATATTAAGATCACACCCTCAGGGCATCTGGGTGGGTAAGTCTGGTTAAGCTTCTGACTCCTGGTTTCGGCTCAGGTCATGACCTCAGGGTCCAGAGATCAAGACCTGTGATGAGCTCCGTGCTCAGCGGGGAGTCTGCTTAAGAATCTCTCTCTCCTCCCTCTGCCCCTCACCCCTACACTCGCGCTCTTCTCTCTCAAATAAATAAAACTTAAAACAAAAAATCACAACTTTAACTGTAATAATCACCAGACTAATGTCATCCTGGGAGACCTTGATAAACAGCCATTCAGACTTTTCCTGCTATAGCCTGACCTCATCATGGACCCCAGAATCTATAATTTGGTTACATTCAAATACAATCAGTCAATAGAGGAACAAGAATGTCCTATTCATTCCATATTAAATTCTACTTGTATTCCTCTGAACTGAACATCAGAATGTAATGATTGCATGAAACTGGACAAGAATAAAAATCAAAGCAAAATCACAAGTTTCTTATTTTTCCGGAACGAAAATGTCTTGAAATTAAAAGCACCTATGTTTAAATCACTTCAGTTATCATTAGCTTAACATTAATCAACAGAAGATGAGCCTAAATAACTCTTAAGTGGATGGATAAAATAAAAGAAAGTGTGCTCACTGAACAACTGTCAAATGAAAGAATCAATACATGATATGCATGCAATTTAAAAAAAAAAACTCCTACTTTTCTCCTGCTAACTGAATAGGACAGTGAGAGAAACTGAATAAATTTGTTGAAATAGTGTCTTTTTTGGTCAGCTTCCCATTTTAAAAATTATCAGCTTCTTTTTTTTATTAAAAGCTCTGTTTCAAAAATATCATTGAAGGATAATCAATGAAGGATGGTCTAAAAGATAGACAATCTGGCCTCCCCTCTAAAATTTTCAGAGGTTCTCTTCCCTTTGGGAATCTACAGATCCCTTTAAGAATCTGATTAAAATTTCTTTTTTTTTTTAAAGATTTTATTTATTTATTTGAGAGAGAGAGAATGAGAGAGATAGAGAGCACGAGAGGGAAGAGGGTCAGAGGGAGAAGCAGACTCCCTGCTGAGCAGGGAGACCGATGTGGGACTTGATCCGGGGACTCCAGGATCATGACCTGAGCGGAAGGCAGTCGCTTTAACCAACTGAGCCACCCAGGCGCCCAAGAATCTGATTAAAATTTCAAATCCTCTTTGCAGAAAAAGTAACTAAACTTAGTGATCTACATGAAGAGGAGTGACCTTGAGTGACCAGTTGTGACCAGTTGTGACATGCACATATATGCATAATTTTGGAAACCATCACAGAGAGTTCAAGGACTACCAAAGATCCTCTATGAATCTGTTCAGGATCAAACTGAATTTGTTATTGTGGGATCACTCAGAGACATTTGTAAAATGCACTCAGTCAACTTTTAGAACTAAGAAAACATGGCCTTCTCCTAAACAACCTATTTATTTTTTAATCTCAAAGGCACTTAGGATTTTGTTGTTGTTTTTTAAATTTTTATTTATTTATTTGAGAGGAGAGCGAGAGAGCAGGAGAGGGGGGAGGGGAAAGGCAGAGGGAGAAGCAGTCTCCCTGCTGAGCAGGTATCGGAGGGGCTTGATACCAGGACCTGAGATCATGACCCGAGCCAAAGGCAGACGCTCAACCAACTGAGCCACCCACGCACCCGGGGAACTTAGGATTTTGAATATACCTGTGTTCCCTTCTTTACTATGACTTCTGGGATGACTGGAGTCAAATTTGCAGTCCATCTTTACTAATTGGCCAGGCAATTACTGCAGGCATTTTGTATAGTAATCTTACCCATGACTTCATCTTAATTCCTCTCCCCTTATTTTCCCATTTCCCCTGAGGTCTTAGTCCAGTTTTAATGTTTTAGGGTATCTCTGCCTCACATCCTTGGGGACTGTTGCAAACAAATACATACATAATACGAAAAAAATCCTCCTTAAACTCAGGGTACAGATGTTTTAGCATATTTATGATTGCAGGGTTTTCTTAAAATTGAGTGCATTACTAATACTTTATTTTTATTATTTTTTTAAAGATTTTATTTATTTGACAGAGAGAGAGAGCACAAGTAGGCAGAGTAGCAGGGAGAGGGAGAGGGAGAAGCAAGCTCTCCGCGGAGCAGGGAGCCCGACGAGGGGCTTGATCCCAGAACCCTGGGATCATGACCTGAGAAGGCAGCCGCTTGACTGAGCCACCCACGCGCCCCTCATTACTAATATTTTAAAATCCCAACATTTTACATAAAAATCCAGATTTCTTATGTCTCTGGAAAAAATGTAACAAGTTCTTATCTCCCTGGGCCAGCATGCAAGTGGGATCAGTCCTGAGCAGCAACTGTGGTCTCCAAGGGTCACAGTTCTCACACATCCACTTTGCTCGTCTATTATTACCTGAGAGGCCCGGGAATGAGTTCAGAAAGAGGAACAAACTTCAGGATTCTGCAAACACACACACACTTTTTCTTGATCTATGAATCACTGGACCTCGCCTCTGCGCTAGGCCTAGCGGTAGGCGATTAAAGAGAAGCTGAGGTCAGTCCTGGCTGACTCATCAGGGCTCGAACCACCGCCACTAGATCAAGCCACAACCTCAACTGAGCTATACAAAGTTTTGAACCGACGGTGGAACGGTACTTGGTGTAGAGTATTTACTAAGGAATCTAAGCTAGGTTGCTCTAAATTAGACACTTGTCTAAGCAAACCACGGCCTGTGCAGAGGAGAAAGGGCAGGAAGACAAAGTCACGCCTCAGCTCTGACTTGAATCATAAGCAGCGGAGCTCCCAGACCAGCTGCACTCTCCGAGGATGTTCGCGTTTCCGGAGCAACCACCAGGTCCCTCCCCCCTCAGCTCCGCCCCCAGCAGTCTTTCCCGCCAAAGGCCGTTAAGCCGCAGAGCATTGTGGGACAAGGCTCAAGGCTAGGTTTCACCCAATGCTTTCAAGGCGCGGACTTGTTTTAAGAGACTCATTCCTGGACAAATCGACTATCTCTTAAGACTCGTCAGGGATTAGTAATCCCTTTAAGGAGGAATCTGTGTTTAATTTTTACCAAACGGATGGTCACTTCACTTGCAAACCACTCCGCAAATCGGGAACGCGAGGAACTTTTTTTCTCCTTTTTCGCGGAGGGTCACGTCGCGCATGCGTGAGCGTACCTTTCGCAGCACCCGTTACGCTCTTGCGCGTGCGTACTGAGATCGAATAGCTGCTTCCTCCCGCTTCTCTTCCTCCCTCCCCCCATATCCGTGCGCCGAGCTGATAAAGGCGCCATTTTGGAGGGGCCGCGGGAGACGTGGTGTCGCTGCGGGCTCGCTCTGCCGTGCGCTAGGCTTGGTGGGAAGGCCTGTTCTCGAGTCCGCGCTTTTCGTCGCCGCCATGTCGGGAGGTGGTGTGATTCGTGGCCCGGCAGGGAACAACGATTGCCGCATCTACGTGGGTAACTTACCTCCAGACATCCGAACCAAGGACATTGAGGACGTGTTCTACAAATACGGTGCTATCCGCGACATCGATCTCAAGAATCGCCGCGGAGGACCGCCCTTCGCCTTCGTTGAGTTCGAGGACCCTCGGTGAGGGGCCCGGGGCTTGCCGCCTTGAGGCAATAAGTTGTAGTAGTTGGGGAAGGCCTTGATACAGAGAATGGGGAGGTGGGCTCTTAGGTTGGGGGTAAGACGCTATCGCCCATGCAGGAACCGAGTAAGGAGCCGAGTCGCTGTGGCTTCTCTCATGGTTGGGCCCACGGACGTCCCCAGAGTGGACTCTCTCCGAGCGGGAAACTGAGGCGCCGAGGGCTGGTGTAGTGGTCGGGAGCCTGGCGTGCCTCTGGGTGGGGGAGGGGCCGTTCCTATTATGCGGCGCATGTGGGCTCTTCCACGCTGGTTGCGCATGTGCGGGGGCCGTTAGTTCCTGACTGAGTTAGCTGCCTCTCCCCGGCCTTATTCTTACACTTTTTGCTTTCTGTGATCACGCAGAGACGCGGAAGACGCGGTATATGGTCGCGACGGCTATGATTACGATGGATACCGTCTGCGGGTGGAGTTTCCTCGAAGCGGCCGTGGTACAGGCCGAGGCGGCGGCGGGGGTGGAGGTGGCGGGGCTCCCCGAGGCCGCTATGGCCCCCCATCCAGGCGTTCTGAAAACAGAGTGGTTGTCTCCGGTGAGTTTACTGTTCGTGAGGGTTGTTGAGAAGGGACAGGAACCACTTTTAAGTTTTTCCTTGAGTGACCAGTTGTGACAAATGCAAGTTTTTGTGGTAGGTCTTAAATTACTTAAGTTTCTTGGGTGAATCTAGTAAACAAGGATTACTGTAGTGGAGGTGTACCAATACACTACTTACTTAACTTACCATTAAGTTGGATACCTGGAACATGAAGATCTTTACAGATAATTTTGGACTTTGGATTCCAGAATTTTAATAAACGGTTCTTTACCTAGGGTCTTGAATCTAATCATTTATTTCAAAGAAGTCTTTGTTCTAGTGTAAATTTTAAGTTTAATGTGAAATTTAGGGTGATTGGTATTGAAAAAATACTTTTTTAGGACTGCCTCCAAGTGGAAGCTGGCAGGATTTAAAGGATCACATGCGTGAAGCAGGTGATGTATGTTATGCTGATGTTTACCGAGATGGCACTGGTGTCGTGGAGTTTGTACGGAAAGAAGATATGACCTATGCAGTTCGAAAACTGGATAACACTAAGTTTAGATCTCATGAGGTAGGTTTTACACTTACTCTTTTCTTTGGCCAGAATTGGATACAGTGGTCTTAACAGTGGAATTTGAAGGTAAGATTCAGGCAAGGGTGTCCAAGTAAAGTACCAGATTCCTGGTTTTAGTTACGTTGTATTCGTTCAGCATGCCTGAAGACAGGTGAAAGCTTAGATCTTTCAATCGAAAGTTCTGTCTATTCAATAGGGAGAAACTGCCTACATCCGGGTTAAAGTTGATGGGCCCAGAAGTCCAAGTTATGGAAGATCACGATCTCGAAGCCGTAGTCGTAGCAGAAGCCGTAGCAGAAGCAACAGCAGGAGTCGCAGTTACTCCCCAAGGAGAAGCAGAGGATCACCACGCTATTCTCCCCGTCATAGCAGATCTCGCTCTCGTACATAAGATGATTGGTGACACTTTTTGTAGAACCCATGTTGTATACAGTTTTCCTTCACTCAGTACAATCTTTTCATTTTTTAATTCAAACTGTTTTGTTCAGAATGGGCTAAAGTGTTGAATTGCATTCTTGTGTAATATCCCCTTGCTCCTAACATCTACATTCCCCTCATGTCTGATAAATTGTATTTTAAGTGATGTCATAGACAGGATTGTTTAAATTTAGTTAATTCTCCATGCTCTTCAGACTGTGATATTGTGTAAATGTCTATTCTGCTCTGGTTTGTGTGAACTGGGATGTTGGGGGTGTTTGTGGTTATCTTACCTGGGGAAGTTCTTATGTTTATCTTGCTTTTCATGTGTCTTTCTGTAGACATATCTGAAGAGATGGATTAAGAATGCTTTGGATTAAGGATTGTGGAGCACATTTCAATCATTTTAGGATTGTCAAAAGGAGGATTGAGGAGGATCAGATCAATAATGGAGGCAATGGTATGACTCCAAGTGCTATTGTCACAGATGAAATTGGCAGTATTGACCTTATACTAAAAGGCAAGGGTTAAAAGTGATTATATATATATATATATATACATCTACCTTAAAACACTTGCAAACATCTTATGCAGTTATCTTTAGCTGCAATTGCTTTGCTCTTTAAACCTTGGCAATTGTGGCAAAATTACATTGCCCATTTTGTAACAATTTATTTTGCTCCCTTCCCCCCTTTTTTGTTTTAATAGGGACTAATGTGGGAAGAACTGGCTAATTTGTCACAGTGCTTAGTTACAACTGTTAATGTGTGACCTGCTGTTGGTGTACATGTGGGTACAGGGTGTCTTTAATTCCAACCAGATAGAGTATAATATCAATACTGCTAAATCTGCATGTCCTCTGTGTGACTGATATAGCGTTGCTATTTCATTTTTTTAAGACAAAATGAAAGCAAAATAGAATTCCAGTGTATTGGTGTAGATAATCTAGTTGGGAATACTTTTAAGTCTCACCTTCCCCTTTAAACTAATACTCATAATTGACTCATGTTTAAAACACTTTAATTTACAAATTAAATTGCAGATGGGAGCACTAGGTTTAGTTTAGACTTAGGGTGGGTAGCAATACCAGTAAACTTCTCAACTACATAACTTTTTGCAACCACAAAACCTGTAATACGCTGTACAGTAACAAGTGTTGGCATTATCAGTTGAACTGTAAATATAAAATGCTTCTTCCAATTAGTCTCTATGATGATTAAGTTTCTAAAATTTATCTGAACACCATTCAGAAACTTGTTTTGGGGAATTTGATAGTTATTGATGTACATCTGTTAAACTGATGACAGACATAACTCATCATTCCCCAGAAACCTTTTTTGATTACAGTATCTAACATTTTGCCTCCTCTTTTTTGGTTTTGCTGGTTATAAAGGTTTGGATTGGAGAGGGCTCACTGGATCCCAATCCTTGGAGCTGGATCATTGGATTCAAATCATAATGTGGATAGGATAGGGAGGATGAATTACAAGGATTCATGGAGCGGGATCAGATTACCAGGAACATAGGAGTGGATTCCTGCCCCAACCAAACCGCATTCGTGTGGATTTTTTTTTTTATTCAACTTAATTGGCTATTCCAAAGATTTTTTTTTTTCCTATTTTTGACGATTGGAGCCCTTAAGATGCACGATGGAATTGTGTTTTGCATTTTTTGGTAAAAGGAGCAAAGCGAGGACCTGGAGATAATACGCTGGAGCAATCTCCTTGGAAGGATTCAGCACGAGTAGATGGTAAACATTTAAAGGGGAAAGGGGGGGTTTGTTTAAAATAGTAAATCAGTAAGTCACTTCTAAATTTAAAGAACAAAATTGGAGTTGAAGAATAAGTAGGTTTCCAATTGGCTATTGCCGTTTTTCTTTGAAAAAAATAAACATTTTTTAAAAAACTATGCATGGTTGTCCTTTTTCCTCTTCATGTAAAATTTTAATTGGGTGACTAGTTTATCAGTTAATACTTTGATAAGATTCTGTTATGTGTTAGTAAATTAAAGGTTCTTGAAAGGTAATTTCTAATAAATGGCCATCTCTTATTAATTATAAGTCTTTTGGGGGAGATAAGGTAAGAATAAGGCAATTGTGTATATAATATGGTAAATGGGGGGGTGATCTAGTTTCTGAAAGATAATCCTCCCATACTTTGATAGAAGTGATTAAATTTTATAGATGTTTATTTTTTGGTGGTCATCTAGACAACATAGGCTTTTGTGCAGAATTGGGTAGTGACTAGTTAATGTTAACTTGGGGATAGCCTTTGAGATTTTCAAGCTTTTCTCAAAAATTGGTAAGTATTAAATGTTAAATTCACAGATTAGAGCTCTTGACACAAATGACATTTTTTCTGAAATGTGAATAATACACTAGAATTTTAACTGCTTATTTATTGTTAATAAAAAGCTGGGCTTTCTTTAGAATTTTGCCTTGCAGATCCTTCTCAACCATAAGATTATTCTGTATCCAAAACATACCAAAGCAGTGATTTATATTTTAGTCTGCTAGTTCTTGTATCTTTTTATTTGATAGCCCCTCGGTGCTAAATTTTCAATGAGTTGGGGGAGGAGATTTTTACTTAAAATCCCTAATCTTTTTCTTTTGATTTCCTCATAGCTAGTCAAAACCATCAAAACACTTTTTTCTGCACTCAAAAGAAATAACTAAGTCTTAACATTTGCCTTGGATGCTAATCAGAGCTGGAAGCTGAATTTAAGACCACTATGCAGGTGACATAATTTGAAACCTAGGAAAAACTAGACATAATCTTGGGAATAGAAGAAATGGGCCCCAGTAGATAAGGGCACATTTGCATAAGGGCACCCAACCAAAACATTTTGATGGACCTTGTGGAATGTAAGGAGGAAGAGAAAGGACATTAAGTTCAAAACTAAGATTCCACTTAACAAGCGAAGAACTTGGTTTAGATAAGTTTGTAGTTTTTATGCAAGAATTCAAAATACAATGTTCAAGAAGTGGAAAGATTTTTACTAATTAAAGCCGTTTCACGTATAGAATGTAAGTATTTTTTAAACTAATTTTGGAAAGGTTAATGTGAACTAGACTTAAGCTTGTGTTCGTTGAATGTATTGGAAACCAAACCAAGATGAAAATTGCCTTCATCTTCAGTGAAGTTGAGAGCATTTTAAGCTAAGTTGAAAGCTGTGTTCTACTAAAAACTTAGTAGTCCAAATCTCAGAATTGAAGTGAGTTAGAAAATATCTGATAATAGGCTGTCTGAAGATTAGAGGACTTGGCTGCATATTTATAGAAGGTAGATGGGCACTAGACCAGACAGCTAAAAGCTGTGAGGGCAGATGCAGACTCTTTTCAGTCTTAGGAAATGGGCCCTAAACCTCTATCCATTTTGGCAGCTGTTAGAAGAGTGTTGCACTGTTTTGGAACTAAAAAAGTAGCCCTGAATTGTTCCCCTTTTCTCCCTATTTATGTCCCCTTAGAATAGTGTAGGGAGACTATAATTAGCTTGTTATTTTCTAACCAAGGAAAAACTTTTAAGAAGCAATTATTTTTCATAACGTCAGATTGAATAACCCACCTTGCTGTTCAGCCCACATCCTTCTGGAAACAAAAGGTAAGAAACCCATTTTCTGATTCCTAATTGTTTGGGATCTGAATTTTATTTTTAAAATTTGTTTAATAATTTATTTAAAATACTGTATGAACAGATTTTCCTTGTTAAAAATGTTTTTCCCCTAAGTTTAATATCTTCATAAATTGAGTGCTCCTGTGTCCACTTACTGTGTTTAAGTTTGATATGATTCTAGAATTTCAGCTTTCTCCGTTTTATCTTTGAAACCTCTTGCTCATTAGGACTGATGTGTGTTTTCAAGTTTTCTGTGCAGATGAATTTCTTAATGTGTCTTTTCACTTTGTATATGAAGTACTGAAATACAAAAGTTCTATGTATGTATTTACTGTAAATAGTATTAAAAAGATACTATTAGGCTGAAGTTCTGTTGTAACAACCAGTCTTTGGTTTCATTTAGTTCCATCCCAGTATGAAGATTTCAAAGGCAGAAAACCGGTTCCCAATCTCTTATCCAAAAAAATTCTGAAAACTTTGTTGTTGAATGTGAAACCTGACCAGAATTAATGTCCTCATTTTGCACTTACTGGGACTGCAGTCTTCTGCAGAAATACTGAGGTTTCGTTACCCACTTGCCATAGGCTTTGCTGGGGGTGTTAGATGATACAGAGTCTATATATATACACCATACTTTATTATATGAAGTGTGAACGGCTCTGAAATGGCTCTCAAATACACCTGCCCCCTTGAGTTTGGATAAGAGATTATAGAACTCTAATAGAATATAGGGCTAAGGTTCATGTGAGTGAAAACCTGTTAAGTGGATCCTTTCTTAATGGAGATCTAAGTTTCCGGTCTTTTTAGGCTGAAGCAGCCACGAGAAAAAAGGTATGACCCACATTTCTTTATATTCTGTTGCTATAGTGGACTCACAGTTGTACTCCACTGAAGGAAATACTCTACCATTCTAGTGTATGTAGTGGTATATTCAATTCTTCGGGGGTAATTTTTTTTTCAATACTTTACAGGAATATTGATCAATATAGGAGAAGCTGATATTGCATGAATTGATGCAATTATAAGGGAACATCCAAATAAATAATCCTGGCAAAAATTTGCTTTTTAAATAGAGGCCCAAGAAGTTGCAGTTATACTTAAACCAGCACTTATTCCTGTGATTGAGGACTTTGGGGATGCATCTTGATAACTTCAAAAGCTATACCTGAGGGTGGTTGTGATTTTGTAGGAATCAAGGAATTTTTCTATTAAATCACTTGGTGCTTCTGTAGTACCCCCCAAAAAATAGTCTTTTCATGTAGAAGTTAATAGGCAGAAATAATCTCATAGTAAACATCTTAAGTTCCTTCAGCTGGATTATTGAGGAGAGAAAATTTATGCATAGCCTTTGCATAAGGAGTTGCTGTTTTAGATAGGTGTACAAAACGACAGATGAAATAATACTTAAGATCTTGAGTTCAGATTCTGGGTGTTTGTCTTTATCTCGTAAGTACAAAGGAGTTAACGTTGAACCAAGTTAAATGTCTTAACTCCTGCTACCTTGTGACTTAGTCTATCAACTGTTGATAGAACTATCAACGTGAAGGTAGTAGAAATTGAGAACCTCTAAAATGCTGTACTCCTCTTCACCAAATACGAGCAAGACAACTTAAAGGGATGCCAAATGGCTAGTAAGTTTTGTTTTTGTTTTTTCAACAATGGTCAGTTCTACTCCCCTGTTGGAGTAAATGCTAGGGAAAACCTTGTAGCCACTAGAGGGAGCTATTATATAAAGTAAACCAGGAGAGTATCCCTACTGCAAAGAATCCCTAAAGGAAGGTGGAAACCACCTATCCTAGTTCTATCAGCTCCAAAGTTAGGTGGGGTTTTTAGGGTGGGTAAGTTTTCTTCCTGTAATTTAACCTCTGCTTTCTCATCTGTTGAGTAAGGATCCATTTAGGTCTTGAACAGAGCTTTATTAGTACTGAACCTCTAAATAAGTTCAGGGACATAGGAGAAAATACTGAAGACGTGAATCTACTTGTTTTCCTGCCTCCCCTGTACACCTACAGGTACGGATCAGTAAGGCCAGAAGTGTCAGAATTGGGTACAGGCGTTGATGTGTGCTGCAAATGGCAATCTAGGCATAAAATTGATCTCAGGAAAAACAAATATACTTTCAGAGATCTTTGTCATTTTTATGGCATGAAACATTTCTGGAATCTTCTCAGCATTACTAAAATACTTAATGAGTGTTAGTTAAAACCCTGCTTATTCATCAAGTTGACTGTATTTTTGTTTTCTAGGCCTTGCGTAACTAGGCACAGTATCTTGTGATCAGAAAGCCCAGGCGCATAGTTCTCTTGTCATGTTAATGTCATTTTATATTAAGACTGAAAATTTTGGGGTATTAACACGAGCATTTGTCATTCCATCCCCTTCCCTATGACCTTACATTGGCAAAAAATGTAAAGGACACAAACTTCCCTCCTGTTTAAATTCAACTAAAAATACTATTGAAGTTTCTTAGGCCCACTTGATCTAATTTCATCAAGAAAATGGTATGGTAGTGCTCTCCCTAAAACATTAATGTTAGAAACTTGGCTGCTTTGAAGAATAAGATACTAAGAGCAAATAAAAGTATTTTCCGGGAGTGAGAAGAAAATCAAGTTCACACAGTAGAGCTTGTCGGCCTGCTTGACCACAGAAGGTGGTTGCTGACTAGCAGGCTTGGTGCAAATTGGATTGAGAATGCTCTAGACTGGTAATTTCCTACCTTTAATCCTAGGAATGTTAGCTATGAGGTCTCCTTAATTTAACTTGTGAAGACTCTAAAACCAAAATTGGACAATTGAAAATCCAGCATTCCCTTTGTAAAAGAAAAAGGCTAAACTTGGAGATTGTAAAGTGCCAGGGGCATGGCAGAATTGTGTCCTGAGTTGCTGAATATTAGGGGAGCCTTCACACCTGAAGTTTGGGATAAGCTTTCAAATTGCAGCAATGATGGTTTAAAACAGGAAGAGACTGCTGCATCTGGTAACCAGAAAACAACCTACAGCCTTAAAATACGACTTGGAAGTCCTGGGCTGAATCTCTTCCGCCCTTAAAGTGGCTTGCTTAGAAATGTGACTTCTACCATCTACTATATGGTCAGTGAATGCCAAGTGTGGTTAGAAATTCATTAATATCTTCATCCCAAACCCCAGCTGTCCACCAGCTACTGTTGGCTAGGGTAATTTTTTTTTTTTATGAAAAATTATGTTCTCATTTTCTACTATAGTTACTTGAAACCTCAATGCTTGGAAGTTATTCTTAAAAATATGGCAGCTGAGCCCTTTAGTAACCTAGCCCCTAGCC